CTAGTGGATTAAGGGGGGAGCCCGGACGCCTGGGTTCTCTCTCTTGCGCTGGGAGGGCTAGAGCGGCTGAGCTGCGTCTCCCTCTGAACCGCCCCCCCGCTCCCCCTCTATTGTTCCCGCTGCTCCCCCCCCGGCCCCACTCACCGCTCCGGCCGGCGCTGCCCGGGGAGGGGGAGCGCTACGCCCCCCGGCTGCCCGTGCGCACAGCGGCCCCCATGGCCCGGGCTCGCATCCGGGCTCCCCCCGGGGTGGGCAGGCGCCGGGCCGGGGCTCAGGGTGACTGGCTGGCGAGCGGAGGAAGGTCCCTTTACGTATCCTGTCCCCAACCCACCCACCCTGTTACGCTACTTCCCGCTCCCGCCTGCTCCCGGCGCCAGCAAGGAACACGCTCTATGGTCCTTCGCCCCGCGGCGCGGAACAGCTGGGCGCGGGTTCGAGCTCCGCCTCCGCCGGGGGGCCGGACTCCTGGGTTCTCTCCCCAGCTCTGCCAGGGGCGTGGGGACTGGTGGTTAGAGCAGCAGGGCCTGGGAGCCAGGACTCCTGGGTTCTCTCCCCAGCCGCGGAGGGGAGGGGAGGGGAGGGGAGGGGTCTCGTGCAGGGCTTCTCAAACTGGGGGTTGTGACCCCTCGGGGGGGTCACAAGGTTATTACTTGGGGGGGGTCACGAGCTGCCAGCCTCCACCCCAAACCCCGCTTTGCCTCCAGCATTAATAGTGTTAAATATTTAAAAAATGGGTTTAATTTATAAGGGGGGGGTCGCACTCATAGGCTTGCTGTGTGAAAGGGGTCACCAATACAAAAGTTTGAGAACTACTGGGTTAGAGCAGGGGGGGCTGGGAGCCAGGACACCTGGGTTCTCTCCCCAGCTCTGGGAGGGGTGTGGGGTCTAGAGTGTCCAATCACAGCAAATAATTCCTGCTTCCCCACTACCATGACTGTCTCCTCTTCTGGTTAAAATTCTCCTGTCAGTTACACAGAGGCCATGTGCCACCAATGGGGTTGGCCTGGTGTGTAGAGGAAGGAAATACGTAGACATTTGTGTTTTGGGAGTACACAGTTCTGGTTCCTAGATTGCCCCCCTAGGCCCCACTCCCCTTGCAGAGCTGGGGAGAGAACCCAGGAGTCCTGGCTCCCAGCTCCCCTGTTCTAACCACTAGACCCCTCTCCCCTCACAGAGCTGGGGAGAGAACCCAGGAGTTCTGGCTCCCAGCCCCCCCCACTCCACCCCGCCCCGCTCTAGCCACTAGACCCCACTACCCGCCCAGAGTCAGGGATAGAACCCAGGCATCCTGCTGTAAATGCAGGCTGAGCTTGTTAGCCCATCTCCTGGCTGCACCACCTGGGGCTTGAATTCAAACACCCCCAAGCGTCACGAGACTGAAGATAAAAAATGGCGAGCGTCGGTGCCGGCTTCTGAAATCGCTCCAGTTACACAGCAGAGAATTGCAGTGCTAAGGACACCCCGGAAACCCCAGCCCAGAATCTGCCGCATAAGGGGGTGTAAGCTGGGCAGACGGGGCGGAAGGGTGGCCACACCTGGAGTATTGTGTCCGGTTTTGGTCCCCCCCCCCCCGCTACAGAAGGATTGTGGACAAATTGGAGAGAGTCCAGCGGAGGGCAAAGAAAATGATCAGGGGGCTGGAGCACATGACTTATGAGGAGAGGCTGAGGGAACTGGGATTGTTTAGTCTCCAGAAGAGAAGAATGAGGTGGGATTTGAATGCAGCCTTCAACTACCTGAAGGGGGGTTCCAAAGAGGATGGAGCTCGGCTGTTCTCAGTGGTGGCAGATGACAGAACAAGGAGTAATGGTCTCAAGTTGCAGTGGGAAAGGTTTAGGTTGGATATTAGGAAACACTATTTCACTGGGGGGGTGGTGAAGCACTGGAATGGGTTCCCTAGGGAGGTGGTGGAATCTCCATCCTTGGAGGTTTTTAAGGCCCAGCTTGACAAAGCCCTGGCTGGGATGATTTAGTTGGGGCTGGTCCTGCTTTCAGCAGGCAGTTGGACTAGATGACCTCCTGAGGTCCCTTCCAACCCTGATCTTCTATGATCCAAAGCTGGGGGCCGGCCAGGGCATCTTGCTGGGAATCGGGGAGTCTGGGCCTGGGTCGGGCTGGGAGGTCTATGAGCCCTGTTGCCTCAGAGGAAATATCTCGCCTTCCCTGCCCCTGGGCTGCTCCCTGGTAGCCAGTTCTGATCTGAGCACTGCAGGTGCTGCCCCTAGCTGGGGGGCATCTGTCTGAGCTCAAGCTCACCCCCCGCCCCATCCTGCAGCCCCGAATCCCCCTCTGAACTGAGTAGGGGGAGGGACTAACTCCACCCCAGGCACTGCCCCTCCCTACCTAGTCTGGTCTGCCCCAGCTGATGCCTCCAGTGCAGCTGGCAGAGGCCGCCCCTTTATTGGTCTGCTGGAGGATAACAGCCTGCTACCGCTGCCAGATGATGGAGTGATTCCTTTAGCTCAGCTGGAGTCTCGTAGCTGTTTCAGTTGATGGCGGTAATCCTCTAGTGTTATGGCTCATGTGCTAGAGGACAACAACCTACTGCCAGAGCCGGAGTCCACAGACACTTAGGGATATAAACAGAGGACTCTAGATTTCCTTCCTGTGCTGATTCCCCCATCCTGTCCCCACTTCCTCTCCAGCCACTGCAAGGATCAGCAAGGGAATAGTGAATGCCAAAGTTGGCAGGCAGAGACTGAGAGGCGCAAGGACGTTCATGCTCAGAGCGATGGGCTCAGGCTCTCTGCAGACCTAGGCAGGGTGGCTGCATTGATTACAAGCAGGACAGGTCCCCCATCTCAAGGCAATTGGCTCAGGCAGGCATCAGTTACCCCTGGAACTTTATCTCTCAGGGTTGAAGGAGAAACTGATGATACCAGTCCAGTATTTCTTTGATGCAATCCTGTTTATTTACAAAGGGCAGACACAAAGTCCTGTTTCTCTGACCCTAAGGGGAATCAAAACAGCAGGAGACAGTTTCTTTGCTCACAATCCCATGCCTCCTTCCAGCCAGCGCTCTGCCCAAAAATCTCACCCTGAGCTTTTTCTCAGGGGTCCCGCTACCAGTACTTTTGTCAAAATGAAACACTTTGATTGCCCTGAAACCGAATTTGCTTTTGGAGAGAATTCCAAAAGTGTCGACACCTATTGGAATCTTCACGGGAATCGCATTTCTGTGCCCACATAAACCCCTTTCTGCAATGGTGGCACAGGTGGGTAGGGGTGTCTCCACATTGGTGTCCGTAGTGGGATCCCTTGCCCCCTTGGGGCACCATAGGTTGCGCTGTCAGTTCTGAGCAGTGGGTGAATCCCCAGCCGTAGTCAGGGCAGAAATGGGGTTCCCCTGCCTGGTGGGTGGCCTGCCGGTGGCTGAGGTATCGTTGGTGCTGAGGAGCTGGAGGGATGGGTGAATTCCGGCTGCACTGGGACTGGAGCATCAGTAGGCATTCCCCACAATCACGGGACACGGATGCCAAGAGTGCTGTCATGTGCGTCTTCCTGGATCCCCAGAACGGCCCACGCAGATCTGCTGCTGCTCCCTCAGGATTCTGGGAAACGTCCTCTTGGGATCTCCCCAAGAATGTCCCGCGCAGATCCTTTCCCGCAGGATTCTGGGATACGTCCCCTCAGCGTCCGCTTGGAACGGCCTGCGCAGATCTGCTCCCTCTGCATTCTGGGACACATCCCCTTGGGGTCTTCAAGGGAACGTCCTGCACGGATCCTGTCCTTGATGGGGACCCTCTTCCTGACACCTGCTGGGAGAGGGGGGTGGGGGAGGGATCCAGCCAGGGCTCATTCCCTGCGCTGGGAAGAGGAGGAGGGTCAGGGAGGGGGCAGACACTCCTGTAACAGACCATAATTACAAAGGGCCTCTGGCCGAGATCAGGGGCCTCCTTGTGCCGGGGGCTGCGCAGTCTAAATAGACCTTTCGCTCTCCGTTACCTGGGCTTTGCTTTTCAGAACGAGTCAGCAAGAGGTTCGTGTCTGGAGCAGCTGGTGCCAGTGGCGATGAAGAAATCTCAGGAGGGGGCCAGGGCGTTTCCCTGCTGCGCAGGTGGATCATAATCTGCTCTCCTAGAGGACAGCATGAAGGAGATGACAATCTCCTAATTCCCTGGGGTGAATCAGGACTCCTGGGTTCTTCTACTCCAGCTCAGGGAGGGGAATCTAGTGGGTTAGAGCAGGGGTGGCTGTGAACCAGGACTCCTGGGTTCGATCCTGGCCCTGGAAGGGGATTAGAGGGGGGAGGAGAACCAGGACTCCTGGGTTCGATCCTGATCCTGGCCCTGGAAGGGGAGTAGTGGGTTAGAGGAGGGGGGCAATGGGAGCCAGGACTCCTGGGTTGGATCCTGGCCCTGGGAGAGAAGTGGACTGGGAAGGTTAAAGCAGGGTGGGCTGGGTGTCAGGTCTCCTGGGTTCTAACCCCAGCTCTGACTAAGCTGCTGAATTTCTCCGGGCCTCAGTTGCCCTGGCTGTGAAATGGGGACAAGAATTCTTCCTTTGTCAGATGAGAGTGTCAATTCTGTGGGGGCGGGGGCGCTCTCGCCCAGTGCATGTGGGCAGGGCCCCGATCCCGGTGGGGGGGTGTGCAGCACCGATCTCAGCTGTATTAATAACCAGCCCCTTCCAGTTGGCAGGCCGGAGCCCAGAGCTGGGACGCGAGCGGAGCTTGGGCCCCCCCAGCCGCGGAGGGTGAGCGGGGTTACATGGGGCGGAAATGGACGACGCTGGGGGGAGCCCTGCAGCAGTCCCGCTACCCCTCAAGGGACTACAATTCCCAGCATGCCTCGGCCCTTTAACCCTCCGCTCGCCGCAGCTCTGTGGGGAGGCTGGGGCAGGAGGAACTCGCCCCGGGGTGGGGTGCGGTGCGCGGGGGTTACCTATCACCGCCTGTGAGTCCCAGAAGTGGGGAGCCGGCCCCTGCTCTAACCACTAGACCCCACTCCCCTCCCAGAACCGGGGATCGAACCCAGGAGTCCTGGCTCCCAGCCCCCGCATCCCTACACCATGCAGAAATGCAAATGCATCAACGCAGGCTCTTTTTTATTTGCAATCCTACTGACGCCAATAGAGCCAGGCCAGGATCTGATCTCGGAGACTCCAGCATGAAGCCGGAGCGACCCCACTGACGCGAGGGGGGCCGGGGCCAGACTCTGAGCTCCGCCGATAGGGTGACCCGATGTCCCGATTTTATAGGGACAGTCCTGATTTTTGGGTCTTTTTCTTATATAGGCTCCTATTACCCCCCACCCCCTGTCCCGATTTTTCACATTTGCTGTC